ACCGGATAAATTTTCACGCGGAATCTTCCGTCCGATCGGACCCGCTCGATCGTGGATTCGCGCTGCTCAGGGGCATCGATTTCGATCGAGGGTCGCCTCGCTTTCGAAATTCGCCACGGTTTTACGCGCCAGCCCCGTGTGCCGATCCGCCATCGTCCCGACGAGTTCGCGTTTCTCTCCTCTTGGCATAGTTTCGCACGCGAGGAGTCGTCGCGACGCGCCGATTCGTATCGCGCCGCGATCCAGTCCACCGGCGCGCCGATTTCGCAAGCGGATCGGCGACGCGACCGGCATCGCCGTTTCCAAAATATTTACCCGAAAAACCACCGTGTCGATACTCGAGCGTTTTAAACGATATTGCAAAACGGCCTGTAGTCTATAAACAAAGCGAGGTCGCGTGGCAAAATCAAACGAAACGGGAGACCTCGCGGAAAATTCCGCATCGCGCTCCGTCCTCGAATTTAAACGATAATCAGCAGGGGAATAGCAGATTACCGCGTACTATGAACCAACCGAGAGTTTCATTCTTAAATCGTCTTTACCTACGCGTGCATTTACTACACGCTACACTCTCTATACCGATCTATCTATAACGCTAGATCACGGTTCCGCGAAACGCGTGTCTCTTCGCCTCTGACTCCGAATCGCGTCTATTTTCCACTCGGCTTCTCGCACACTCCGGTTTGCCGCGTTTATCCGCCATACCGAATTAGAAATCGCCCAACAACGAGTCCACGGTTGGACGTAACTCGAAAATTGTCGAAACCCGCGAAATTTCGCGAGGTCTCGACCCATCTCCAGGCCACGAGATACCAACCTACGAACTCTCGTCACTGACGACGGAGACTCGGGCCAAAGTCAACCAGCGTGTAGAATTGTATCGAAACGGAATCGAAGCTTTGGAGCGCAGATAGGGGACCGATTGGCGCGCTCGTTGGAAACCGCGTGGGCCATCTCGTGGCCATCTGCACGCGAAGAGAATCGCGCACACGTGTCCGATCCGCGGGGCGAAGCGTTGAAAATAACCTCTTAAGCGTCCCTGACGAGGTGGGAATGTTGAGTTTGCCGCGAATACTCTGTTAGCTCGTGATTTGCACTTCCTAGTCGAGGCTCGTACGCACCGACACAGCGGCCACGCGCATTCTCTACGCGGTATACACGCGTACGTGGCACACACGAGCGAGAAGCACACAGCGAGCAGAGTGCGCGCGGGACCGAGATGGACGAGAGTGTTGGTGAACGTCACGCGAGAACGGCCGACGGTGTCGGTGTAAAACTAACAATAATAATAAGGTTGAGTCATGTGGGGCCTTCGAGAGCAAAGAAGGGCCTTGATTTGTGCCCCGGGCAAGGCAAAGATCTCTGTCTCCCCGTCAGCCGATCGTTTCTCTCCTTCCTTGATTCGACGTGCTTTTTTGGAGCTGCGAGCCTGCTCTCGGCGATTTCTACGTTACATAGAAACCAACTCGAGGGCAAACGGATCGTAAAGACCTGCAGCACTTTGCTCGACGCCCATTTCTATCCACTCGCTAGCCACCTCTCGTCTCTCGTGCATCGATCCATCATCCATCCATCCATCGATCCTTCTTTCCCTGAATTTACCCGTGTCCCCCGGGGATCTTCGCTGGGCTTTCGGAAAGAAGCTGAGAATCGCGCGTGGATCCTGGCATTTCGGCGACTCGCCGATGACACGTCCGAGATGGTGATCCACGCGCAGCTTTCTCACGGTGCACCGTGCAACGACGTTGCCCCGTAAAAGCCACCGAAACTTTCAGTTCGATTATCGTTTACGAGCACACGCGTATGTCGTTCGAGTTCCAGCGCGAGTTTAACGGTTATTGGCAAGCCGGACAACTTCCTCGAAGGCGACGGACACTCTTCAACGCGCTCGATGGACCTCGATCATCCCGGGACCATCTATAAAAGACACGTTTTATAATCCGCGCTCGCTCGAACAACGGGCTGACAATTCCACGCGCGAAACGCCGTCACCGGTTGACTGGCCAACAATCGGCCAGGAACGCGATTGGGTGCTTCGATCAATCTTCGAATTCCAACGAGCCTTTCTTCCCGTGGCTTTTGGAAATCCGCTCGGACGTTCGGCCAGTCCGGCAGAGAAGGTCGTTCACGTCAATCGCGTCGCGATCATCGAATCGCTGCCACGAGATGGCATAACGATTTATTTTTATTCCCAACGACAGCAGCGTTCGCGCGCGCGAGTTTGAAATTTTATCTGCGAGTCGCTCACGATTATCGCTGCAGCGGAAGGAAGCTCGCGAGTGGCGCCAATGGTCGCCGCGGTGTTTACCGTTGCTTCCACGACAACCGTGACCGGGGACCGGTATTTTTCCCGCGACGCGTCGCTAGTGAGCGATATCGGTCATTCGCGACCCTCGATGGGCCCAAATATCGGTGCGAAGATCGAGCCAAAGATGCGTAAAGATGCGTAAAGGTGCGTAAAGATGCGCAAATATCGGCCGATCGCTAAGCTCCGCGTCCTCCGGCATCGTGGAGCGGTGCACTCGGAGGCTGGATACGGAGTCTTGGTTATTTTATGCATAATCGGAAGCCCTCGATGGGCCCAAATATCGGTGCGAAGATCGAGCCAAAGATGCGTAAAGATGCGCAAATATCGGCCGATCGCTAAGCTCCGCGTCCTCCGCATCGTGGAGCGGTGCACTCGGAGGCTGGATACGGAGTCTTGGTTATTTTATGCATAATCGGATCGGACGTTTTACGAGCAAGTGCGTGGCACGTTGTGTCTATCTGTGACGGCGAAGGAATATTAGCGTTCCGTAACTAGCGTTTCATTAGCGGTATCGTTGTTGGAGGATCGAGGAGCGGCCACGGAACGAGCCTGCGAGGAAATTACGAGGTACTAAGGGCAACGATGAACACGCGGATCGGGGGGGTCGCGGGGGGGAGCACGCATATTTATAACGGAAATAGATAGGACTCGTAAACGACGAAACGATGCCGGTGCCAGTTATGCTTAAAAATAGCCAGCCGCCTTTCGATCTAACTTTTTCATTACGGGCTCTCGATACTTTGTTGCCTTTACGCGTTACCCGTTCTCTCTGCACCGTGAAACCGGTTTAACTCAAAGATCATCCGGAACGATTCCATCGCGAGGTTTCGCGTGCTCGAATTTCGAATCGGGCCCCGATCGACCGATCCCGATCCCGATCCCCGCAGTGGCGGCGAGAGCGTCGGTGGGGAGGGGGGCGGGGGGCAACGGCAGGAGGATGGGGAGGACATTACGCATACGAAAAACGGTCAGTTGGACGTCCGATATCGAGTCACGTCGCCGTACGCGATCCTGATCGTGAATAGACTACGAACAGCCGCAAGGAAAGGGAAAGAAGAATGGTAGTGGTAAAAGAATCGCGGGAAGTTATGTCGAACAGGGTATAGATAGCGGCGACTGCGAGCGGCCTTCCGAGCTCACACAGCCTTCCGCTTTTATTGCGCTGCGAGAGCCGTCGTCGTCGTGGCGGTAGCGCCACAGCTAGGGCTGAGAGTGCCAAGTTAAACGATCTCTCACCGATGGACAAGCTGTGACATCACTTCGCGGCAGAATCGCCTGCTAGAATTCCATGCACGCCTCCCGACAGTCTATTTCCACCTTCGGTTATTTAGACGTTGACCCGGACTCTAGTCGCGCGTTAATAACTGTTACTTTCCGCGCTTTCCCGCTACCATGAATGAGCAGCGACCGCCATTAACCGTGACGCGGGGCGTATCGCGGGGGTTGTCGTACACCTATGGCCAGGGAATAATTCCTGCCGGTCGGGATATTGTCGACCGGTGTGTACGTGCGTGCAGCTTTCTATACCGTTTTGGCAAGATTCTTCGGGACGAAAATAATTTCGGTTCGCGGATTGCATAATGAATGGCGGGAAATAAAATCGCGCGGCGCGGGACCGCAAACAAAGCGGCTCTGAACAAACAAGACGTTCTTTCTGCATACAGCTCGCGAGATAACGAACTCCACGTGCCGCGATAGTCGTCCACGTGCTAAGGGACGATCTCGTCTAACCATCCTATTCACGAATTTCGTCTCTCTCGCCGGCAGAGTTCCCGCCATCCTCGATTTACCTTCGCGCGTCCTTCGCCGCGAGACGCACCGCGGTTTATCGACGTAACGCCGTCCGTCGATCGAGCATCGATCGTTTTCCCGTACACGTCGCACACGCCGTTTCATCCAGTCGACGAAACGTTGTTTTCTCTGCGCCTTGTAAAAGTCGCGCGCGCGGCCCGCAATAATGCAAGCCACTCGGTTTTAACGGGCATGTACTTAATCGTGCATTCCGCTGTTTTGAAGGTAAACCGTTCCAAGGTGAGCTAAACTCAGAAGTAATCGCGGTACACCGAGAGTTCAGGGTTAGTTGGCCTACTGACGTACTTTAGGATATCCCGAGGGGTCGAGAGGTCGTTGATACGAAGCGGCGAGGGTGGCAGGCCGAGCGACCTTGAAGAGCAACTTCCAGGATCGATGTCTGCCGAGTACACGTGTCCCAGCGACTCCTCGTGCTAGCCTGCTCCCTCCTAACCGTATCGCCCTACGCCCTTCTGCTTCCCCTCGAGCTTCGCGGACACGTGCCAGCACATAAACAACCTTTCGAGACTTACCTCGTGACCCGTCGACATTCTCTTCGTTCGCGGTTTCTCCGTGACGTCAACCTTCGCTGTTTTTTCGCCGTCCCGTTCTAACCGCGATGCTCTCCTTTCCATCGGGGGAACAGTTACAACGGAAAAGCTTAATTCCACCCGACACCTTGACTTCCTGCCGATTGCGCGCCGCGCAGGTAAGCTGCCTACTACTCTTTGCCTAATCTTCGCCACGGTTTAACCGAGTTTCAACCGATTTTTAACCCAGTTTTAACCCAATTTTAACCTGGTTTTAACCCGATTTCGAACGACATGAGATCGCCTCGAGCCTCGAAGCCGAGTCGTCTCTCTCTCTCTCTCTGATTCTACGTTTCCCCGATACGTTCTAGGTGCTCTGAACTGGGTGAACGCGCGAGAGGACACCGCGCCCAAAGTGGTGGTGAAGAAGATCGAGGGAAAGAAGGAGACCTTGGAGAGACACGTGCCGCAAATGCTGCTGAGGGGAGAACAGGTCGCTATAATCGTCAAAATCAATTGAGCCGGTGAATACGTCCTACCACCGAGGAACGGACACTGGTGACGTCACGCGACTCCGCGTTGCGACGCATCGAATCGGTGGACGAGCTACGCCACGCGATGCTACCAAGGA